AGCAGGAAAGTTGACAAATATTAATGTCAACTTTAAACAGAAATCGCAAATGTAAACCCCAGGAAGCAAAATCATATTGTGGCCCTAGCCCATGTGGCTCAGTTGGTTGGCATCGGCCCCTGCACAAAAATGTTGCAGGTTCAATTCCCAGTAGGGGGCCTGCAGGAGGCAGCCAATTGATGCTATGTTCTCACATCGATGTTTCTCTCTCTCCCTCCCTCTCCCTTCCTCTCTAAAAATCAACAAACTATTCTCCAGAAAGAGAGTATATTGGGGAAATGCTAGCTGTCTAAATTTAGTTCTTTCCAGCACACCAGAGACCTGGCATTCATTGCCTTTGCTAAGATTTTGTTCCTGGTCCCAGAACTATGAAGGTTCACATTTTTATCCTGTGTAAAAAAAGATGAATAGTAGTCTTGACCAACAGACATTTCAGGATGAAAAACGTAGTAGAGAAAGATGAATATCACATGATCTCACTCATTTGTGGAATATAATGAACAACATAAACTGGTGAACAAAATAGATTCAGAGATATAGAAGTATTGAACAGACCTTCAAACCTCAGAGGGAAGGCAGGGGAGGGTGGGAGTTGCGGGGTGGGGGTGGGGGGCGTAAGAGATCAACCAATGGACTTGTATGCATGCATATAAGCATGAGCAATGGACATAGACAGTAGGGGTTGAGGGCATGTGCTGGGGGGTGGGAGCGGCCAGGGATCAATGGGGGAAAAAAGACATAAATAATACTTTGAATAATAAAGAAACTAAGTTTTTTTAAAAAAAGAAGTTAGTAGGCTCTGGAGTTATTCAGAACTAGGTTTAAATCTAGGATTTTAAATGCACTGGCTAGTCAACAAGTTAAACAGTAGTCAAGTTACTTAACCTTAATTTTGGTTTCCTGATCGCTAAAATGAGAGTAATTGCCCTATCCGGTTTGGCTCAGAGGTTAGAGCTTCAGCCCTTGGACTGAATGGTCGCGGGTCTGGTTCCGGTCAAGGGCATGTACCTCGGTTGCAGCTCCATCCCTGGTGTGTGCAAGAGGCAACCAATCAATGTGTCTCTCTCACATTGATGTTTCTCTCTCTCTGTCTCTCCCCCTCCCTTCCACTCTCTCTAAAAATCAGTGGGAAAAAATACCCTCGGGTGAGGCTTAACAACAACAAAATAAAAAATAAATAAAATGGGAGTAATAATAACAACTATTACCTCATATCGAATTTTTAAGGGTTAAGGTAGGTAACAAATATAAAGCCAGGGTCTAGCAACCAAAAAATACTCTCTAAACAGAAAAACTTGTTACTGTGTTTGAATATAATATGAATTCTAGCCATAAAGTATTGTTCATCTTACTCTGATGGTAATTTCTCCTCACATAGGGTTTCTTGGGTCAAAATATGATGACTCTGTAACAATTCTGTGACCTCAGTGGCCTTTTCCCCTAGGATTACAGAAATACAGCAGATCTAAGATGTTTGAGCCACACGGTAAGTTGGCTCTTTTAGAACCTGTACCTTCTCATAGACTTACCGGTCCGATCTTGGCTGAAGGAATGATTTTCATACTTTCCACTCCTTGTGGTTATGGTCACATCATAGAGGCGCCCAGGGGTGAGGGAGCTGAAGGAGCATTCGCTGACGGACTTGGCGATAATGAGGGACTGAACCACCTTGCCATCATGAGACAGAGTCACTACATAGTTATCCACATCTCCAGGAGCTGGCAGCCAGGATATGCTGAGGTAGTCATTGCGACCAGAATTGTTTACCGTTACTCCACTCACACTGGAAGGGACTAGGATTGTAAAAGGGGGAGAATAGTTTTAAAAGAAAAGCACAATCAAAAAAGTTTGAGTCATTTATCATGGTGACAAAAAACAGTGTGAACTCAGGAGATCAAACCTGAGTATAAGAAAGAGGTCAACACATGCTATGAGTGCTCTCATATCAGAAGGCAAATCAAAATGAAAATGCAAGGAGGCCTTTCGGATGCTAGTAAGCCTGCAACCCTGGCATGTGCCCTGACCAGGAATTGAACCATGACCTCTTGGTTCATAGGTCAACACTCAACCACTGAGCTGCACAGGCCGGCTGGTTTGGCCCTACTGCATTTTTTATGGTGTAGCTGTTCATAAAGTATTTTAAGTGGAGGCATTTTGATGTAAATGTGTCAGGACGTCCCCTATGTAGAAACGGGAACACACATCCTAACAATCCAAATAAAAGTGTTTGAATCAAACTCATCAGTAATGATGACTGGATGAAATGGTAAAGAATGCAATAGCTTTTTTAGAAAGCTTAGACTTGAGCATAGCTTTGATCTCCTTGCAATGAATTTATTTATTCCTGGGGAGTCTAATAACTAACACAACCAGAGGTGGTTTTTTTTTTTTTCTCTCTTTGCAAAGCATTTCCTGCCCTCTAGTGGCAAAAACAAACAAACCTAGAATCTTCTCTTGGAATCAACAAGTCTGGCGATTGGACCAACTGTGGTCAGAAAGAGCCATTGTGGTGAGAACAGCCTTTCTGATGTCAACCATAATCATTGACTTATTTTAATTGGGCTGAGTACCACAGACATTCACTGAGAGCTTACGATCTGCCAAGTGTACAAAATGGAAAAGATGTGGATACCCTTCAGAAGTTCCCTGGCTAGAAGTAGTTTGCAAATTAATAACTGTGGTATTGTGTCAGAAATTAGTGCATAGTAAATAGTATTGCCTTTGATGGCTATCAAAATAAAGTCCTATAGTATATACAAATTGCATGACTGTTTTCATCATCAGTTGATTGACTTCAGCTAAATATCTATATATATAAAAGCCTAAGTGACCGTTAAGACTAGTCAACCGAACGACCGGTTGACTGGTCACTATGACACGCACTAACCACCAGGGGGCAGATGCTCAATGCAAGAGCTACCCTCTGGTGATCACTGTGCTCCCACAGGTAACCTCCCATGGCCAGCCAACCTCCTGTAGCACCTCCCCCTGCCGGCTAGGCCCGATTAGCCCTGATTGGGACTGGGCGAGACAGCCCCAATTGCCAGCCAGGCCGAGGGACCCACCTGTGCACAAATTCATGCACCAGGCCTCTAGTTTTCATATAACTGTCAATATCAATTCATCATGTATAATGGATGAGATTTGGCATCAAATGACTATCATGTCATCACAAAGTGAGTTCTGTCACTTATTGGAGATTTTTAGAAAATTTAGAATTCACTGTCTCCTACCCTCATTCCCCCCACCCTCCATTTTCATTCCTGGAAGAGCAACATTTACCTTCTGGATGGTACCAAGACTTGGCTTTTAGGAAGATCAGAAATTAACCTGTGTATAGAATGTTTTAAAAATGGAACTCTGGAGGTCCATGTGCTCTTCTTACCTGTCCTTCCTTCCACCACCGCTTGTCGGGAAGAGATCCCTCCGCTTACTGTTGTTACCACCACGGAGTAGAGACTGCCTGATTTGAGGGAGTGGAAGCTGTATGTGCTAGTCTCACTGGAGACACTTTCATTTTTGATGACCACATTTTCATGGATGAGTAAGACTTGGTAGAACTCTATGTCTCCTGCTGCCTGGGTCCAGTTAGTAAATAGGCTGCTGGTTGTCCCTTGGTTGGCCACATGCAAGCCAGTCACTTGGGCAGGCACTAAAACACAGTAGACAGAGAGAGAAAAAAACAGATGACACTTAGTCACCCTAGGGAAGTGTAATAAAAATAAGTAAAATATGGAGACAGTTTTGAAGATGCATATATATATATCTATATATGCATATAGATATATTATATATATATTTGTTATAGGCTGTCAAGCTCTATTTCCTGTGGCATATGGCAAACTACTCCCCCACAGAGACTCTACTATTACGGAAAAGCTGCCTATGTGGGAAATCAAAATTATTTTGGATCCAAAGATGAGATGACATCATGCCTATTAAACAGTTTTGATTTAAAACTTTCAATAATGAAAGGCTGCTGCTTTTGAAAATTGCTTACTTAATGTGATATTTATCTGCCCTTATCCCATTAGAACTGAAAGACACATCATCTACCTGAGCTGATGGTTGTTCTCAAGAGAAATTTTATTAGTATACATGAAAATGTTACAATAATATAAATTATACTGTCATATAATAATAATACCCACTGAGTGTCTGCTGTGTGCCAGTTATGGGCTCTATGCTTTATAGAGATTATATTGTGTGATACTCAAAACTCTATTAAGTTCATTTTATTATTCCCTTTACTGAGGAGGAAACCAAAGATCATAAAATGTAAGTAATTTAGTCTATATTACAGTGTTAGCAAATAATTTGGGGTTCAAATCCTGATCTGCCTAACCTGTGAACCTGAGCTCTTTTCCTAATTGGTACCTACTGTGATTTCTAGTCTATCCATTGACAAATCTTTCACACAAATCTTGAAGTTGGCACTTAATCAACATACATCTTCTCTGTGCCTCTTCCCTGAATTATGATAATCAAAGCAATTGACCCTGGCACAATTCTTCTCAGGATTCTTTGACTTTTGGATTCAGATACAAACATATTTATTAAACAATATTATTTTGGACAAAGATGGTCAAAAGGTACAAATTTCCAGTTACAAGATAAACAAATACTAGGGAAGTACAATATGAATGTGATAGCTAACACTGCTATATAATATATAGGAAGTTTGATGAGAGTAAATTCTATGAGTTCTCATCACAAGGAGAATATATTTTTCCTTTGTATTGTATCTACAGAAGAAGATGGATGTTAGCTGAACTTATTGTGGTAAACACTTCATAATATATGTAAATCAATCCATCATACTATATGCCATAAACTTAGTAATGTATACCAATTATTTTTCAATGAAACTGGAAAAAATTAATATACATGATCAGAAAATTCCATTTTAATTCCAAATTTCATGTGTAAAGCAAAGGAATTAATATGTCAAAACAATTTTGAAAAAGAAGAACAAGAATGGAGGACTAACATCATCTAATGTCAAGACTTACTAGAAAGCGACAGTAATGAAGACAGTGTGATACTGGCAAAAGGACAGACACATAGATCAATAGAACAGAACTGAGAGTCCAGAAATAGAACAACACATGTATAGTCAATTGATTTTTTACAGAGATTCAGGGGCAATTAAGTAGAAAAAAGACAGTCTTTTAATAAATAGGGCTGAAATTATTAGATGTTTATATGCAAAAAATTAAACATTGACCCGTATCTCACACACATATAAAATTTAACTCAAAAGAAATTACATATCTAAATTTAAAACCTAAAACTATAAAAACTTTTAGGAGAAAATCTTTGTGACTTTATCTTAAGCAAAACAAAAATTTCTTAGATATGATATCAAAAGCATGATCTATGAAAAAAACCTTATAAATTAGACATGAAAATAAAAAGTGTATATTCTGTAAAATACACTAATAAATTAATGAAAAGACAAACCACAGACTTGGGGAGAACATTTCAATGCATATTTCTGATCATGGGCTTATATCTGGCATAAAGAATTCTCAAAACTCAATTATAAGAAATAAACATGGACAAAATATTTGAAAATATCTTCTTCCCCAAAGAAGATAAATGGATGGTAAATAAGCATATGAAAAGATGCTCAAAACCATTAGTTATCAGGGAAAGGCAAATTGAAAAATGAGATATCACTACATACTTACTAGAATGGTTAACATTTTTAAAAAAACATCTGCTGAGGATAAGGAGGAACTGGAAATCTCATACATTGTTAGTGGGGCTGTAAAATTTTACAACCACATTGGAAAACAGTTGCTTACAAAGTTAAACATATGCTTACCATATGATCTAGCACTATAAGTGGTAGGTTTATTTATTTATTTATTTATTTATTTATTAAATATATTTCCTTATTGATTTCAGAGAGGAAGGGAGAAGGAGTGAGAGACAGAAACATCAATAATGAAAGAGAATCATTGATTGGCTGCCTCCTGCACACTCCCTACTGGGGATCGAGCCCACAACCCAGGCATGTGCCCTTGGCCAGAATCAAACCTGGGACCCTTCAGTCCACAGGCTAACGCTCTATCCACTGAGCCAAGCCAGCTAGGGCAGTGGTAGGTTTAATTAAAATGATTCTAAGTCTAAAACAATGTCTTGGACTTCCATTTCTGACAGGATGATGACCCCCCTCCCCCACCCCCAATCAACACAACTACATGTAGTGAATAAAACACAAAGATGTAAATGCATAAATGAGTTGTCAAGAATGTAAGGAATTCTCAGAGACCTAATAGTAAGTTATAAAGAGGTAACTGGCTAACTGAAGTAGACATTCATCCTGAAGTCATGTTTTAAACATACATTTAAGCTTTGACTTTATAGCTTTGTACGATCTACAAAATAGGAGACAAAGTGTAGGACTTTCCCAGGCTGAGGAACTTTGTAAGTAACATTGGAATCCTGAAATACTGCATTCTAAGTGTAAATAAAATAAATATTCCCTTTTTACTCTTCACATCACCCCAACCTCCTTAACAGTGGATGGAAAAGAAAAATTGTCCTCTGAGAATTCATAACCTCAAGACAGCATCAGTAAACTTGCAACTTAAATTCATAAGACCTGGATGATCAAAAAATCTCAAGGTAACAATTTAGATTAAAATAGGTCTGGGTTGATAGTAGTCCTGTGTACCTGAAAGAATCAAATGAAAAGAAAGTTCTTTTTGAAACCTATTTTCAAACAAGGCATCAAAGAGTTCCCACAGAATAAAATCCTAAGGTATGTGAGTTTACAGTAAAAAAGTACAAATATTTAAGGAAGTAAAGTGCCATGAGCAAAAGGCAACAAACCCAATAGGCAACAGAAGTGCGCTTCTGAAGATTTCAAATAATTATCAGATATAAAATGTAAAATAAAAAGTGTTAATAAGCTTATAGCAATAAAGGAAGAGAATGGAAATATGACTAAAGAGAATCAAAGAAAATGTTTAAAAGTGAAAAACATATCAATTATTAAAACTTAATGGGTTGACTTAAAAATAGTTTAGAAAGAAACACAGAAAGAATTAATGAACTAAAACAAAGAGCAGAGCTGAGGAAATTAACCAGATTACAGCCCAGAAAGCAAGTACATGAAAAAAAATAATATCCTAAATTACCAGTATATATATATAATAACTCTAGAATATTAGTAGGAGACACAGAGGGGGAATGGAGAAGAGGCAAAAGCAATATTAGAGTTAATAGATGAGAATTTCCAGGATTGACGAACGATACTAATCTGCAAATACAGAAATCCCAATAATCTTAAGCAAGGATAAACAAAAAGTCTGTACTTAGATCATTACTGTGAACAGCAGAACACCAAAGGCCAAGAGCAGATCTTAAAAGCAATCATAGAAAACAGATTACACATAGAGAAATAAAAATTAGGTTGACAGCTAACTTTTTAAAGTCAATAATAAATTTCAGAAAGACTCAAATTAATATCTTTAATGTACTAAAAGAAAATAACTTTCAGCAAAATTATAACCCAGGGAAAATATTTTTCAAAGTTGAGAACTATATAAAGACATACCCAGAAAAACAAAAGTGTAGAGAGTTTGTCAGTAAACATCTCAGTAAAGAAACTTGAAGAATGTTCTCTAAGATGAAGAAACGTAATACAAGATGGAATTTGAGATACAGGAGGAAAAGATGAAGAAAAATTTGGTAAATTGGTGGGTCAATCCAAGGATACAATAATTACATTTTTTTTGTGGGGTTAAAAAAGAAGAGAGAAATAAAATACAGGACAACAATAGTATATAAATTGGAAAGGGATGTCTTTGATGATGACCTTGCTTCCTATTTCACTTAGAAAATGAGAGTTATCAAAAGATAACTGCTACCACTACATCTATTTACTGTATCTGCACCCATATACTCTCTTTCTCCCATTTGACTCTCAAGTTTTACTACTCATGTCATTTCCAAAGCCTATTCTTTCACTGGTGCTATAGATCCCAATACTTCTTGCTTATTCATAGAATAATTGCAACAATTCTTCCCTCTCTCTGTATAGTCGCACCATTCCTCTTTCTTCTAAAATATGTTGTCCTTTATTCTATCATTAAAAAATAACCCTCCTTTCAAGCATACTTTCTCTTTCAGATGCTGCCCTATTTCTCTGCTTTCCTTTGCAGCAAAACTCCTTGGAAATGTTGTTCTCTGCTCGGTTTTAATTTTAGCAAAATAAGCTCAAAGTAAAACAAAACACGGAACTATTAAAGACAAGAGCTGAAATTAGTAAAAATAAAAAAAAACAAAAAACCAGAAAGGATCCATAAATCAATTCCCAGCACATAAAAGGCATTTAGTGAACATTTATAAGTTGAGTGTTAGACAATTCAGCAGACAGGATACTTCTAAAGCCTAAAGTTTATGAAGAATATTACCTGTTCTTCCTTTCGTTGAAGATGAATTTTTTAAGTCTCCACTAATACTGGTGACAGTAGCTATGTATTTTCGTCCAGGCACCAGGTCAGTAAAAGTGAATTCTTTGGCTTCTTTGGGGAGTGACTTGTGGATGAGCAAGAGGTTTCTGTCCGCTAGTGAAATGATGTATTTTTCCCATTCTGCAGCAGGGGTCTGCCACATGATGCCCAGGGAGGTTTCATTGGCATGTTTGACACGAAGCTGGAGGACAGCCATGGGGACTGAGGAAAAGCAATGGAGACGTGGGTCACTGACTGACTCAGAAACACTCACATATTCTTTAGAGCTGTTTTCTCCCATCCACAGAAGTATTCCAATTCAGCATTTTTTTTCTGAATGCTTATGAAAAAATAAAAACTCATCACAAGATATTTCTTTATATAACAAACAGAAATAAGGATTTAAAACAATACTATTGGAAAATATGGGGTCTCTCATTTTTGGCCACATAATACTTTACGAGTGCTTATGTCTTCATATGTATGCTATGATATGAAAATATTTCATTGGATCTTGTCATCCACAAAACCACAGAGGGAGATCCATGTTTGAGTACTTTGGGAGGATTAGGAGTGTCTGTTGCCTCCCTAGCTTGGAAAGACAAAGTGATTTTCCCCTTTATTTCGAAGGGAGGAACACTGATGTGTTCATGAAAGGGAGAGTAATAATAATAATAATAAAGCTGGTCACTAATAATAATAATATTTGATTAAAGACTCCAAATATCCAAATAACTGAAATCTCTCCCACTTTTTATTATTAAAACTTCTAGGAGACATTGTGAAGAGTAAAGTGCTAATCCATAAAACAGAATCAAGTGTGCAAAATTATCTTGTGAATTTTCTGTCCACCAAAGACATTTTCTGTCATCTCCTGTGATAACAATGCCTTCTTCTAGAATCCCTCTTGAAGGACCGGCCTGAGTCTCTACTTGAAGAAGTGTCCCTCCTTTCAGAAATATGTACTTGGTAATTTGCTTGATTTGTTTCTTGTTTTCATCACAGATTTGCTTGCAAGCAGACAACGTACCATGAACATTCCTCTCTATTAATGAAAGCTTTTCGATGTTGGGGTCCATGCTTTCAAACTTTGTAAGAGCTTGTTGAAGTTGGCAAGGGTTCTGTTAAACCATTCGCTGTGAATTTACTTGGGGGTTCTCTTTCTTCCCCTGGTTTCCTTTTTCTTACTCCTTCATCTATGTGTTCCTGCTCCAGTTCCAATAACTCATTAGTCACTTCCTCAGGAAGCACCTCTGGGAGCTCAATGGCATCCTCATCCACGCCCAGTTTAAAGTTGATTGCCACCTCAAACACAGCTTTGTTGATTTTTACAACCTCCTCACCCTTGGCAAATCCTTTGAAGTCATGGATAAACCTCTAGAATTTCTTCTTTCAGATGACATTTATACACTCCTTGGTGATATCACCCCAAGCCGAAGCAAGGTTCTTGATGAAGACATAGATGTTGAATCCTTCAAGAATTGCATCAGTGTTTTCTCAGTGTCTTCCTCAGCTACAGCAGTAGCCGGGGCCGGGGGCGGGAGGAGGGGGGGCGAGAAGGGAGTCCTCCCCAGGCCCTTCAAAGCTCCTATGACTCCTTGGTCTATTCGTTGGATCAAAGAGGTGGTGTTGATATGGGAAGAAGATCACCAATAAAAGGGAGATATCCAGAAGCATTACCAACAATAAGCAAAATCTTGAAAGGTATGTTATTCTCCAAACATAGCAATTCAGGAAGGCATTCTGGAAGAGGATGCACACTGGCAGTGTGTGCCTATTGGTATGCTTGAAGGTCCCGTGACTCTCACTGTGCCAGATCACAAAGGGTTTTCAATTTGTAGCCTGCAACATTGTTCCCATGGAAGAATAATAGTCCTTAAAAGCCTTGAAACCTGGCACTGACTTGGCCTCTTTATGGATAGAAGTCCTTTGAGATATCTGTTTCCAGAATAGGGAGGTTTCATTTTTATTGAATATTTGGTTTGGAAAGTAATTTCCTCCACAATCAGCTTATCTAGAGTTTCCAAACATGCTTCTACCTTCAAATTGGCACTCGCAGACTCACCAGTTACATTCACATTATGTAATGAATAATGATCCTTGAATCGTTTAAATCACACAGAGCTAGCAGGAAACTCAACATCATAGTCGGGTCCAGCCTTTTCTTCCAACGTCGCAAACAGACATTTTCCTTTGGCCGTGATTGTCATGGTGCTAAAAGAGATATGCTTCTGTGTCTGGTCTTCCATCCAGGTCACTAGAAGTTTCTCCATGTCTGATATAGGCCCTTCTCAAATTTTTGTGAGTCTTGCCTCTTTCAATGGAACAGATCCTTTAACAGCTTCCATCACCTTATTCTTGTTCTTCAGGATGATAGCTATGGTGGAATGGGACATGCCTGACTGATGAGCAATAACCATCACTGATTTCCCACCTTCGCAGTCCTTAACCACTTCAATTTCATTTCCGGATCAATCCCTCTATGTGGCCTCTTACTGGCAACATTAGCAGTGGATTTTATACACTTAGGAGGCATGATGAACAAAACAACACAAGATTAAATTAAGCACAGAACAAATAATGCAGTAAACATGAGATGTTTGAGGCTGCTTCTGCTGTAACATGACATACTGTTTTACAGCAACCTTTTATTTAATAAATAGAAAGAGTGCACTCTAAAATAATGTCCACATTATGTAATTATATACAAATATACAAATCGGTAACAGTATAGTCAATATACAAGTCAGTAACATAGTAGTAAATATATACATCAGTAATACAGCCTTTTATTATCAAGTAGCATGTACTGCACACAACGGTATATGCTATGCTTTGACATGACTAGCAGAGCAGGTTTGTTACACCAGCATTACTGCAAACACGTGAGTAATGCATTGAGCTGTGATGTCACAATGTTTATGACACCACTAGGTCATAGGACTTTTTAACTTCATTATAATCTTATGAGACCACTGTTGTATATGCTGTTCGTCACTGACCAAAATGTTGTTATGCGCCTCATGACTGTATAAAATAATAGTGTTACTAGTGGAAGGGATTTCTAATGTTCTCATTTGACAAAATTAAACATTAGTAACCCTATTTCAGTCTGAAAATGTATAACATCTAAAATTCAGAAAATGACATTGACAGCTACCTGGGTTACTTGGTAAAGGGACCGAATTAAAATTCCATCAGTCATTAGCACCTTGATACTTGCTTACCTGTCCTGCCTTGGCAACGCTTAGAGTTCTTCAGATTTCCACTCTCAACAGTGACTTCTACCTCATACTGTCTTCCCGGTATGAGCCCTATGTCATCTATGACATAATGTGTTTCTTCCTTTCCCACGGTGATGTTGAGCAGCACCAAGGAATCCTTGAAGAGCAGGATACGATACTGCTCCCAGTCTCCAGCAGGGGGCGACCAGCTCACTACGAGGGACCTCACCGAACCATTGCTGTTTGCCTCCAGGTTCCCAACCTTCTCTGGAACTAAATGGTGAAATGATGTCAAAAAGGAGACACTAAAAACCAGAAGTAAGGATGCTTATTCACTCTTCATGGGCAGCAGGAGACACGAGACCTAATATCTGCAGCTCATACCATTTCTATCCCCACCTGATGTTCGTGGATTGCAAATGAGTGTTTTCTTTCCTCACTATGAAGACAGTTGACACTCCAGAAATGTATGCCCGACTCACTTTAGTAGTATATCAGTAATGTGATCTTCTGCAATACTGTTAATAACCTACTAATATGAACGCCGTTTGCACACCAGTTCTAGAGACAATATTGATGTTGCATCTAATGACCGCGACATTGAGGGATATGGCATTTTTTCGAAAAGACTGCATGTTGTGGTCATAAAATATCCCTCTTTCAGTTGAAAAACACTGATCTGGCAATACAGCTCTGATTGTATTCCTTTGCTCAAAAACATTCACGGTCTCTCCATTAACTGCAGAACAAACCAAGTCCTTGGTGTGGCATTTGCAGTTCTCTACCACAATAAGCCTCCATATCCTTCCAGTCTCCTGACTCCTCTCGCAGCCTCTCCCTCCTGCCCCACCCTCTCCAATGCTGGCCTCCAGGAGCTTGCTCTGCAGACGTGTAAGTCTCCTGGACTCTTCTGCTTTTGCTTATGTCATCCCTCCCACCTCAAACCCCCTTTCCTTGTTTCTCTTCAGGAAGTCTTTACTGCTCTTCTGAAAGAAATGTTTGTTCTCTTGTCTCTCTGGACATATGGTTCTTACTTGGGGTCTCTAACAACACAGAGAATGGACTCTGGAATCAGACAGCCTGATTTCAACTCCAGCCACACTATTTACTGGCTGATGACTATGGACAAGTTATCTGTAAAACTGTGATAATAATTGGACCTTTATTGTGAGAACTCAATGAAATAATGGCGTAAAGTCAGTGCCTGACACATGGAAATAGCAACACAATTACCATTATTAAAATGTACTGCAGTATTTTTATTTTGTGTGGGTATGTTCTACATTTGTGTGATTAGAACATAATTTCCTTAAGAGCAAGGGGGTCTGCAAGTAACTATTTCAGGCTTTGCGGACCATTATGGTCTTTGTCTCGTATTTTTCTTTCTGTGTTTTTGTAAACCCTTAAAAATGTAATAACCACTCAGCGAGGGGCTATACAAAAACAGGGTATAGGTTATATTTGGCAGAAGGATATAGTTTGCTGAACCCTGCTATTTTAACAAATCCCAAAGCTCATGCTACAATAATTTACACATAGAAGGCACTGGGTAAATGTTTGGTGACTTAAATTATTAAAATAATTTAGTAAAAATATGGCTAAGTGCTAACTGGCCTTTACTATAAATGCTGATTGGAAATATTTCATTTATTAGTATCAATGCAAATGCATTTTTGCTACTTAAGTGGTGTGATGTGAAATAGCACAGGGGAGAGCCAGTTATGTAAATCACGCAGGAATCAATCCAAACACATTTGCTTAAATAACTCAGATAAATGCAATTAACCCTCTGCTTTACTCTGTATGTGGGGCCTGACCACAGACACCCTCAATTATGTAGAGTCTACATAATTGGTCTACATAATATACTTCCCCAGGTTAGGAAAGGGGTTTTCCTTCTCCTCTTTTAAGATGGATCAGAGACTGATTTGGGCAACCAAGGAATATTCTGGGGTCCATCCTCACCTGTTCTGCCCACTGCCATCTTCTGAGCAGACAATTCGCCAGAGACACAGCTGATGGTAACTTGATAAAGTCGTCCAGGGGTTAAGCCTTTAAATTGGGTTTCTGTAACCTGGGGTGCTAATGTTCTGGAGTCTGTGATGGTCCCTTGGTGAGACAGCGTGATGTTGTAGGAATCCACATTTCCAGGAGGTCTTTGCCACTTGACTTTTAGGGATGTCAAAGTGCCATCATTTGTCACCTTCAGATTTGAGACTTCTGTGGGGGCTAATTAGGAAGAAAGGATAAGTGGCTTTAACTAAGATAGCTTACCAGTCTTGTGGCCAAATTTTGACCTGAATTTTATTTCTATTTTTTTTAAAATATATTTTTATTGATTTCAGAGAAGAAGGGAGAGGGAGAAAGAGATAGAAACATCAATGATGAGAATCATTGATTGACTGCCTCCTGCATGCCCCCTACTGGGGATCGAGCCTGCAACCCCGGGCATGTGCCCTTGACAGGAATTGAACCTGGGACCCTTTGGTCCGAAGGCTGATGCTCTATCCACTGAGCCAAACCAGCTAGGGCTGACCTGAATTTTAATCTTGACAAGCCACACCCACTGCACAGAAGAAAATGACATCTTCATGAGGCAAATATAATACTGCAAAACCAAAGAAAGGCCATCTGGCTGGTGGAAAGAGCACCAACGTGGCAGTAGGAGTTTGAATTCTGGCTCAGACTGAGTTGAGTTGGCTGGGCGGCCCTGGGCAGCTCTGCCCATCTCACTGAGCCTCGGGGTCCTATTGGTAAATGAGCACTTGGTCAAAATTCTCAAAGAGGTCGTCATCTGCCTAATTTCTCCCCCTCTTTATGTATCTAATAATAGCAAGTACATAATAGATTGGCTAACTGATTGGCTAAAACAAAATTTTGTGTGCTAAAAATACTTTATTTTTCATTTTAAAGGATTATAAAATTAAAGCTTAAGAGTTGTGTCAATGACTCACTGATCCTGAAATTAAAATTATATCTTGTTCTTCCTTCTACTACTACTCCTCAAAAATAATAAAAAAAGTTTTGTCATTATTTCATCAATGGAAAATGATCACAAAGGAGATATTTTGGTGAATATGTTTTCTACCTCTTGCTCATGCTGTATTTTGGGGCTTCGTTAATGGCATAATATAAATTAACAACACTTCATTAAAAGAATGATTTTGCACAAATCAGTTAGAAGCGTAATTTGTTCTTGATATACATAAACAATTCTTAAGGTATATGGTATATCTTTGTTGGGAATGTCTATACATCTTTGAGATGTGATATGAAAGGTATATGTAAATGTATGGTATCCAAATACATTCCCACAAGCCTCTGAAAGTTCCAGAAACTCTCATTATTAGAATAATTTTTAAGGCACTACATATCTGAGTTTATGTTAAAATTAGATACTTTCCCAAGAGAGTGTATTTATGAACTCATTAGAAGATTAGAATCAATTAAAATGTAAGTTCCATGAGGGCAAAGACTCTGTCTCTTTTGGGTGTTGTTATATCCTCAACGCCTAACACACAGTTCACACCCAAACAATATTGAATAAATGAATTTGTGTGTGTGTGTGTGTGTGTGTGTGTGTGTGTGTGTGTGTGTGAATTATTCATTAAAACAGCGCACATCAGTTTATCGGGCTATATTAGGCTGTGAGACAGGTCCTGGGGTTCTGGGTCTCAGGGCATGTTTTGTTTGGCAGAGCTTTGGGGAAATGGCTGTTTCACAGGAGTGGGTCTTCACGTAGTGCTGAGAAAAGTACCCTGGTTGATGGTGAGTGAAGTCACAAAGGCAGTGGCATCCTGTTTAAGAGAAGGGAGATTGGCATACTGAAATGAGAAGCTGGGACTCTATCAGTAATTAACCTGCTACTTCAGAATGCTGCCAAGGGCTAGTCTATACTTTAGAATAAAGGGAACTCCTCTTTTTCTAATCAGAAAAGTGGATACATATTAAGGGCCTTCTATGACATATGAATTTCAATTTGTCCTATATTATCATTATTCTAGTCAATCATAAGCCTTGTTTATTAAACATTTCCTTGATTTGCACATCATTCTTGTTCAGCTAGCTGGGGCACTTACTCGTCCTGGCCAGTTTCCACTTTCGGTTTTGCAGCCCTGAAGCCTCAGTTACAATGGTGAGGTTGTAGAGGTGGCCAGATGTCAGTCCATGAAAAGTGTAGGAAGTAGCATATTTGTCCACAACAACGTTATGAACTAGGATCCCTTTATCCATTAGTATCAGCTGGTATCTTTCCACATTCCCAGAGCCATGGGACCAGGAAATCAGGAGAGAATTTGTTTTTGCTGAAATACCAATATCTTTCACCGGGGATGGCACTAATGGGATAAAATGCATTTGCAAAGTGTCATTCATAACTTCCTTGTAGAATACATAGACGCATTTAATTCAAAATTGCACATTCATTTATGTTTCTCTGTACATCTAACTTGTGTGATAAGTAATGAAAACAGCACTTTTGAGATTTCACCAGAATCTAGATTCATGCTCTTTTCAAAGTCCACAGCCTAAAGCTACATCATAGTTTATCTGTTTGTCTCTCCAATTTAATATAGTGATTCTGTAGTTTTGCCACTGAAGTATGATATGGCATCACAGCAAAGGGAAAAAGAAAAAGTAAAGAACTAAAGGAGAGGAAAAATGGAAAGAGAACAATAAAGCAGGAGAGAAAACGAGGCGGGAGTGAATGATAAGAAAGACAGCCCCGTGTGGAAGGAGATGGTGAGATATCATTGATCTTAGGGTGTCTGGGTGCCAGCAAAGACTTGTTCCAAGCATGGAGATCTTTAGAAAACATCATGACTTGATGTGATGAGGAGAATATACAAAGGAGGAAAACAGTTAGCAAATTAGTTTTATGGCACAAATTCGGAAGATGTTGTTGTCTAAGATTTGAGTTAGAAGGGCCATTAGAAAACACTTCGTTATTTTGGAGAAAACTCTAGACCCAGAGAAATGACATGATGTGTTCAAAATAACCCAACAAGCTAGCAGCACAGCCACACCTCCTTATTTTCGGTCTAGTCTTTCCATTCTATCACACAACCTTGTTGCATGTTGTTTGTATGTATGTATGTATGTATGTATGTATGTATTGTGTACCTATCTTTGATGTGGGAGCATTCTTACTTCCATCTCTTGAACTTAATACAATGTGAAAGGAGCATAGACTATTAAATACCCAACTATCTCTAATCTTACCTGTTGATCCATTGATATGAATTGTAGGGGACCGTTTATTTCCAGAAACAGCTGTGATGGCAATATTGTATTTACTACCAGCAGTAAGGTTAGAAAATGCATATTCATTCCATGAAGTACTCTCCTGAATTTGGGCCTCCTGCATCTTTTGGTGACCATCAAGTAACTGCACCTCATACCAGGTGACTCTTCCGGATGAAGGAGTCCACCCAACGTGCAGGCTGGTTGAAGTAGTCTTCTCTTTACTGATCTCAAACCTAGCAGGAGGCAAAGGGTCTGCAAGGCAAAAACCAAGAAAGAGAAGGTGGCATGAAGACTCCTGCAAAACATGCTTACCTTGCTATAATCCAGATTCATTGTTCTTAAAACACCTGCTGCCCATGAACAAACCAGCATTTTACTCCACTTCCGAACTTACCATTTAATTTAAAAAAAGAAACCCACTCAGCTACTAGTCATATAAACTCCTTTTTCTAATAAAACTTTTTGGTTGAGACAATTCTGAGTTTGGAATTCCAAGTAAGGTGATATTGTCTTTGGCTCGCAAGTTCAGCACTTTTCAAACACTGACAAACATCCAGGCTATACCTGGATAAATTATGAAAATCAACAGAAAATACAGACATTAAGAAATAATTTTGAAAGCTGTACTCAAATTTTTCTTTTTAAGGTTGTGGGTTTTCATGGCTAAGTATAGCTAACTTCTGGTTGTTTTAGATATCAGAAACCCACAAAAGATATAGGCCTGATTATGAGCCTAGGTTTGCTCACCAAAATGAATGATCTCAACAGCTGGGCTTTCCTATGTCACTAAATTTTCAAAATTTGAGTTCTGGGACATATTGGAGTTACTGAGGCCCCCAGAGTAGGTGGAAATGGGTTATTCTGCACCCAGCTGTTCACTTAGCTTCAACTCTCAAAGCCTGGGTCAGTTTGCAAAGTCCCATTTCCCATGTATCGAATCTTTGCTATGGAACTCGAAATAGGATGAAGAGCATGTCTCCAGGTTAGCAACTAAGTCAACAGTGTTTAGTGAGCAGAGAGACCATTTGAAAAACGAGACTCTCCCTGCCCTGAATACTGGGAGTAGAAACATTGAGAGACATTCACATATGAGTAATTTTCAGAAATTCCACATGCTTCTTGGTCTAGAAAGTGGGATTAAGATAGGGAAAACTAGATTTCAATTGTCAGGTCAGATATTTTAGTGGCATGGCTACAGAGATCTCAGTTCTTATCTATCTCTTGGCAAATTATAGTTTTCCCACAAAATGACTACAGGAATTCTACAATGTTCTTAGAACAGTATATATTTTTAAATGGTGCTTGTTTGTGACACTAATATTAATACAAACAGGACCAAGCTAATCTTACTCTGTATTCAAAAGGCATTTATGATCAGAGAGTTCATAAGACTATCTATGGGCAACCTAGAGACACCATACATAGACTAAATTTAGCCTGTCATCTATATAATGTGTTTATGGTTTTTGGCTATGATTTATATGAGTACATCATACTGCAAAAATTAAATAAACCACACAAGATTTTATAACATCATCAATTAACAATAATATACATGTTAGCTGAGGCAGCAGTAACTTTAAGAGCCAGAAAAGCAAGGGTGAGCTTGGAGGACAAGATTGTGTAGTTTACACCCCATCCCAGCACAGGTTCACCTGAGAGTGTAGGCTCTAGAAATTGATGACCTGGGTTTGCACCCGGCTCCCCTGCTCTGTAGCTGTGTACTCCGGGCAATTTCTGAACCTCCCTGTGCCTCAGCTGTCTCATCTATGCAATGCCGATGATACTACTATCATTTCAGTAGAATTGCTATGAAGATTAAATTGAGTATTTTATCTGGAGCACTAAAAACTGTATCTGAACATAGTAAGTGTTCAGTGTTAGTTAGTATTATTATTACTTCTATAATCAGGAGAAGATCTTGTCACAGAAGCAGGAGGTTGTAGTAGCAGAGAGCATGGGCTTTGGATTCAGAAGGAACTCAGTTCAAATCTCAGTTTCATCGTGTATCGGTCATAAGACTTTGGGCAAGTAACTTCGTCTGTCTAAGCCTCCCTTCTCCCATCTGTCTGGGGAATATAATTATAGTACCTGCATTCTTGGGGTTTTCGGTAGTAACAAAATACAGAGACGATTTTACCTGGCATACAATGGGCACTCAGTGATATAAATTTACTCTGTCTACTTGGTCATAAAAAAATTCCTCTGGCCCCACGGTTTTGGCTCAGTAGAAA